TCAGAGCTGTGCAGGTGGAGCCGGGCTGAGCTCGGCTGGGCCGGGCTAGGTGGCAGCACAGACTGCCGAAAGCTCCGAGCCCGCAGGATGCGCTCGCTGCCTCTGGCGCTGTAAATCAGGGCCCGAGTGCCTCACACGCGTCCCGGGATGTGCGGGACACAAACCGAGGGTGCAAACACTGCGAAATTCATTACAGAAAACCTTCCTGGGATTCACTTTGCAAAGGTAATAGCGGCTCGATAATCAGCAGGCGCAGGCGGCCAAGCCATCTGTCACAGCCCTGACTCGCTTCCACGCAGGGAGGGAGAACACAATTCCATCCGTCTGGCCGCATTTCAGCGGGGCCCGCTCGGAGGCAGCTGCTGTGCCCTGGAATGAGGGCTCCGGGCAGAGAGGGGCTGGGCTGGGCCCTGTTACACAACACGGCCGTGGAAAAGCAGTGTCCTCTCCGGGAGAAGTGTCCCTGCTCCCCGCAGTGACACCGCCTCCCATCCGCGCTGCCCCGAGCCGCCAGCGCTCCGGGGCTCATTCACCTGGCACTGACAGCCAGGTACAGCCTGGTTACCGATGGTAACACCGGGATAACCTGGGCCCTGGGACTCTGGGTCAGGAAATCATTCCACAACTGCTGTGCCGAAATATTTGGGAGATTCGTGAGGCTCTTTGCCTCCATTTTCATTTGAGGAGGATGAAGAGTGCAGCAATTGCCCCGTCCATCAGTGTAGCCAGCCTTGGGACAGAGGGACAGAAGGATAAAGGGACAGAGGGACAGAAGGACAGAGAGTTAGAAGGACAGAGGGACAGAAGGATAATGCAGAGCTGCTGCCCTGGGTGTGGTGCTCACAGCGAGCAGGCTCCTGGCGTGGGGAGCTGACCAAAGTTTTCCGTGGAAGATGCATCAGGAAGTGAAGAGTTTGGTGTAATTCCGTGCATTCAGCGCCATCTACTCTTGTGTGGGGCTCAACAGGCAGCCCTAATCTGCTTATGCAATGAAGCTTAAGTTAGCATCCTGAAATGCCATCTGGGTTTTTGACATCTGTAGATTTACTTAAAATTAGTTTTCTAGCTGGATTTCTTAGCAAAACAGTTCTAAGGTCATGGATCCGCTTATATTCCAACAGGGATAGATGATTTGTGTTATTAAGAAGCTTCTGCATGAAATTACAGTGCCTTGTACAAGTTCTAGGAGGAGAATTAATGTAGGCAAAGGAATGGATTAGAACAAACTGTGTTGGCATTTATATTTAAAATAAGGAAGAAATATAAGTTCTTTATAGGCACAGTGGTCTCTGCTAATTGAAGAGAGGATGAACCTAGGTTTTCCCTCAATTAACAGACTCCTGGTTTTCATATTTCTCATATTTTTACCTTCAAGGATTGCTCACTTTTCCCACATCACTACAGCCAGGGTAGGGACCAAGAGGAGAGGAAACTTTGGAGAATGAAAGTCCATGGCAGGTGCCACAAAATCTTCTCTTGTCAGTTAAATCCAATTGAAGTTCCTGGAAAGATTCCTGTCCAGCTCAGCAGGCTTTGCATTTGGTTCTGATCAGTTTTGTGGGGTTTGACACTGACACAGTTCCAGAGGTGGATTTTCAGAGGGTCCCTCTCCAGGTGGAAGCCAAAGCCATGGCTGTAGTGCCAGATGAGCTTTTCTTGTCCCACTGAGTGGTTCAGTTCTGCCTGGTGCTGCTCCTGCCATGGAGCTCTGGCTGCAGATCTTGCCCAGCCCCACACTCAGGGCTGGTGCAGCTGATGCACCTGACAGCAGCTCCAGAATTCACCTGGAACCAAGGAATTCCCTCTCCAAATTTCCTGAAATAATTTCATTCCAATTGTCCCAAAGCCGTTTCATCTGAAACCTTGAGGACAAATCAAATGGACATCTGGCTTTGCAGTGGAACGTGGCATCTCCTCTGCAGCTGCTTTGCCATAATTATTTATTTAGATGCTGCCAACTGTGTCTGTGTAAGCATTAATCCATCAAGCTGCTGTGGGCAGGTTAATGGGCCTGAAGCTGGGAGGTGTCTAACACAGCTGGGGAGGTCCTTGCAGGGCTCAGGAGCTGCTGTTGGAGGAAATCTCCCTAGCTGGAAAAGGAGGAGGAGTACCTGGAGGAATGGTGTTCAATACACCAAATGCATTGCATTTTCCACTGGGAAGGTAAATGCCTGTGGCTGGCACAGGGATAAAGAACATTTTTCATGTGCAAATCCATCTGGAAGTGGCTGAGATGGAGCGGGGGGGGGAGTGTGAGCTGAGCAGCTCTCACACGGTGCAGCAAGTGCTGGCCAAGCTCTGCCCCATCGATATCCCATGGCCCGTCCTCCCCACGGGAATTTGGGGCTGTCAGGGGTGTGGGGATGAGTGAGTGCCCCCCTGGGGGAGCCTTTCCCAAAAGGAGCCCTGCAGGGTGAGCCTGGCACAGCCACCCGGGGCTGTTTGCTGGGGAGAGCCCAGCATGGCTTGGGGACA